CCAGGTGGAGCTGCTCCGGGTGCCTTGGGCTCATCCAGATAAGCCTAAAGCAGGCAGGAGAACTTTTGCTGCAGCCCTTCCCAGTCACCCTCTTCCCCCCACCCCCCTTTCTGGAAACAGAGGTGTGCAAGGCAGCTCTGTCTGCTCTGTGAGTGCTTTTGTGTGCCATTGGCTTATCCAGCTGTGCATGAGACACTGGAGGGAGGCAGTTCCACCTGGACACCCTGGCAGCAGCACCCCTGAAAGGGCCTTGCCGCCCCATTGAGTGGAACCCCAGTTAAAAATCATTGATGTAGAGACATAGCATCAGGAATGGGTGATGAAGTGCTTCGCTTTATGCTTTCCGAATAAACCGTTTTACTACTTTTTAATATTGTTTAGACATTCTGACTATCTCAGATGAGAAGCTGATGGCGATACTGTGGCACTTACATTATGATGTCACATTGCTGTTATTCCCAGCGGAGGCTGTGATTCTCTATGACCTCTGGGCAGGTCACATATCCTCCCTAGCTTTTAAATTGGTATGATCTCAGGGACGCTGTAGTGCAACGTTTCCCATCCAGTGGACCAAAAAGTGTTTTGTGGAAGGGGGAGTCTTTTGAGATGCTTACAATTTTAGTACAACCCAGAGCAAATGATATCTGATGCCCCCTCTTGTCACTCACCCTTAATCTTGAAGATCAAACATCCATTCAGAAGCACACATAGAGATAAATTCTGTGATCTTATCATTGGTATTGTTTAATGGACTTTTACTCTTTAATATTAAAGGTCATGAAAAATTTTACTTCAAATTAGGAGTCATTAACCTGAAAAGATCAAGAAATGCTGCAGTACTGTAAGACATGGCTAAGTGATACTTTGTGAACCTACCATTATTTGTTATTTAATCTTAGTGGATTTTCCCGTAGGGGCCTGAAGTTAATTGTACACTATTTCACTGGTAATTAAATTCCATCAATGGATCTCTTTATCCCCTCTCCACTGTTTAGGAAACTGCCAGGCAGAAATGTCTATGCTCAAATGCACAATGAAAAGGAACAGGAGATGACCAGCCCTGTTAATCACAGTGAGGACACTCAGAACATCATCCAGGGTGAGGAGTTTATTGATGATGATATGGACTCTCAAACACTAGGTAACGCAAGAGGTAACTTCACCTTCACTTTATTAACTTGTATTTTGTCTTCTTGGGCAGTAATTTTTACAAGTTTATTTGTACTTACAGCTTTTTTGATTTTCTGCTCCAGGAAAAAGCAAATTGTAAACTCCTACCAGGGGATCTCCTAATTTTATCTTCTCTCTTTTTGTTTGGTTTGAAATTCTGCCAAGGCTATTGATTGTTATGACACATCATTTAGACCACACACTGCATTACAGAAAATAGTATAATTAGTGTCATGCAATATGCAAACAACATAAGGAGGATAATACATTAAGCAGCATAGCTCAACTTTACTAGCACTTAAACAATCTCATTGAGGCCTTGAATACTGAATATAATGAATTTCACGTGAAGTAGAATGATGTGCAGAATGAATATTTCCTTAATGAAGACTATACCTGGCTTCAGTGGTATGTTTGTTATATTATTTGAAGCGGAAGAGAATGTTCTCTCTCCGACAAGTATCAAATTAATTTCTAAGTTGGAAAACTCCACGAAATTTTCCCATTTTCAGTCCTGAACTGCCAATATCCATTGGGCAGAGGCTGCAATCTCCATGTAGAAATCTTTCTATAGAAGTAGAGTAAATGATTCAAGGTCTGATGAAAGTGCTCATCCTGGCAGCCCATGATTATAATTATTGTCTAAGTATTTCATTTCCTATAAAATACTCCAACTGTACTGAGAATTTAGAATTGCCTAAAAAATGTAACACACAGTAACACTGTTCAGGTGTATTTCTGCCAATCCTGTGACAATGGAACATATTCCAAGACTTGTAACACTGTGAAGGGGCCAACTGTGTAGACAGAAGTTTTCATAAATCCACCATGAGGAAGATGGGACACACTTTTTGGCAGGCTTTCTTTGTCTACCTTTTGTTGTTTCTTTAACCTGTTTGTCTTTATCTTTTAGTGTTGTTTTCTTCCTTTTTCCGTTAGCTGGACTGTATACTACTTCTTGCTTCCTGGAGATATAGCTATTTAGAAAAAGGAAAAAGCTACATGCAAAATTCACCTGCAAAATAGTTGTATACATTTTCGTACAAATGTTGACAATTTCCATGCACTAAAATCATTACTGATTTCTTTTGAAGCTCGCAAAGGCAACTTTGATTGTAACTGCAAAACTGCATCCTTTTGTTTTTTGTAAAACAAAATTGTTTGGATTAAAATACCTCCAGAGACCTTGGTCTCTAAAGTGGAGTCTGCCAAAAATGAGTAGGAGGCACAGAGGTCAGACCCAGTTTCATCAAGTGACTACATTTAGGTGTTCCAAGGCCTACAATCTAGATGTCTCAGCCTAGAGGAATAATCTGATTTGACCACATCTAAGTGTCTGAGTGCTCTACACAGAGATAGGGAAAGAATCGCCTCTAAAGGGCAATTCAGAAAATCCATAGGAGCCTATACAGCCAATAGGAAGCACCTCCATCAGTCTGAAGAGTTTAAATAATTGATTCAGATGACACATTGTGCGTCTCAGTTTACTTCTGATCCAGAACACTTATTTCTGCTCACTGGAGATTTAGGCACTTTCCAGCATCAAACTGGGTTACAACAAGATTAGGCAGGAGGTAGGTGTCTAGATGGTCAAGCTGGCAGGTCACTTCTGAGCATGTGCAGAAACTGTAGGTACCTAAGGAATTTTGCAGTCCAAAATAGAGGCACTACTTGAACATAGGTGCCTACTGATTTTGTGGCTTCTGAATTATTCTTTGGCACCTAGATTTCACACTAGTCCCTTTTAAGCACCTCCAAGACTGGAATCTGACTCTCAAACACCTTGGCTTATATCAGGTGGTATTCAAACACAATCTTCTTCTCATAGTTATGAAAAAGAATACTCACTATTTATTCGTATATGACTGCTTGGGACAGGTCACTGGAATGAAGAAATTCTACCCTGATTTATAACACCTTCAAAATAGTCCTTCTTGTCCACTTTGAGGCTGTATGGGATCTGATCTTGTACTCCTTACTCTGAGGAAACTTCTGGTGCAGTCAGTAGGGAATGCAGATTGAGTAAGGAATGTAAGATCAAGATTTTTTAACGACGCTGCCTAAAATTAGGTTAGAAAATGCAGATCTAAATATGATTTGTAGTTTGGCCAGGTTGTCAGCACCAGCAGATATTGTAGTGGAGCATGAAGAGTTCATTTGCTTAGGTCAAAACAGCCTATATTTATCAGCTACTATGCAGTTTTAAAACATACGAGTATTTTTAAGACATAAACCTATACTTCTCCGCACCAGACTTCTTTATCTCCAATATTTTTATAGCTTCAGTAGTTCTCATCACTGCAAAGAAAACATCTCTATTTGTCTCAGTATTGTTCTATTTTCTCTGGCTTGAGGTGAGATGTGTTATAATCCCTACTGTAATGTTAAATTCTCTTTCACAACATTACTTGCAGAAGGTCTTATGGAGAGTCCTACTTATTCTGATGGGGTTTTTTTTCCTCTTCCCACCACTGCTAGGGTGATCACTCCATGCACAGCAGAATTTTACGAGCCTAGTTTTCTGTTTGTTCTCTCTCTTCTCATAACTTTTGAATTTTCACAGTACAGTATTTCCAGACTCACCCATCCACTTCTTTTGTTTTCTATATATTTTATGTTGCCTACTTTATCGCAACCCCCACCTTGGGACTCCTCAACACCATTACCTTGCAGTGACTCCTTCTGGGAGAGGTGGCAACTTGAACAGCTACAGAGTTCCCTTATTGCTGATGCCGGTCAGTGTCCAGTCCCAGGTCAGTGGCATGTTGAATGGAAGCCTCCGGTTCCATTCTCCTCCCTCACCTGCACCCCTCAAGGCAACTACCACCTTTTTAAGCTGCAAAGAGAACCACCTTATGCTGTCACTGGGATAGAAACCCTAGGAATTCACCACAAACTCATCATGAGCAAAAGCTTTAAGGCACTAAAGCAGAACATATGCTGTAGGTACACTGAGCTGCTGCACCACCTTCACCTGATGTGTTGTGTGATCAAACCATCATCTTATTTGATTGACTTGTCCCTTCAATAAAAGGGAAATATATTTCAAAATGCGTGCAAACACTAATACAAACATTTTGTTTCTTATATTTTCTTAGGCAATCACTCAGGCGTGGTTTTGAGCATTAACTCCAGAGAGATGCACAGTTACCTGGTTAGCTGATATTTGCAGCTGAATACAAAAATCGAAAGACTCTTTTCTGTATCTTTTTATTTTTCCCCGGGGAAGTCACAGAATTGGAAACATGGCTGGAAACACTGGTGAAGAGAAGGATCCTTAACAGTCCTGTGGAAGCAAGTGTCCATCGTCTCTTACCACGGAGAAGGATAATGTGCGTCTTGTGTTCATACAATGGACTGGGAACTTATTACAATTCAAATTCAAACTAAGGTAGCAGATTTGTAGCCCTAGGTGCACTCTATGCCATATTTTCTCTTTTCTGTTCTGGTTCTTTGTGTCCATTTTTAGAAGGATTGACCTTAACTCTTTTTATTGAGGTATTCAGTAGAAGATGAGAATTCTTCAGTCCTGAAGAGCTGACTTTAAAATCCAGTGACTAGCACAAAGCAAATGGCTGGCTGAATGCTCCATATTTTTACTTGGTTAAAAAGCTGTGACTTCCTGGTCTGGTTCTGTACTCAGAGAAGAATGAGCAAGGAGACAGATATTCTCCTAGCTCCTCCTCAGTCTTATTTCCTAACTTCCAAATGTGAGAGACAATCGAATGAGCTTCTGCTCACTGGTTGAGGCCCTGCTATAGACTGAAGAGGTCATGGCTTAGGACCTGTTGCTCTTGTAAATGTAATGAGCCTTGATAAATCCTCAGCCCCATGACTATCTCTTATGGTCATCACCAAGAGAAAGGAAAAAAGTGCCAGCTTGATGCTACTTCCAGACCAGGTGCCTTCACTTCCAGACACTGGTTTAAGTTGCTCCTTCATTGTCTCCTAACTGAGCACCTCCAAAAATAGCAGTTGCAAGACCGGTTATTATATAATAAACAGTGCTGACTCCCCTTTTCCTGTTTTTAAAACCCCAGCCAGTGTAAATACCTCTTTTAAGTATCTCTTTTATATGTTTTTTTTTTTAACTTTCTAACTTTAGGACAGAGCCCCCAGGCGTATAAGAATTCTCCCCCCCCCCCC